ATAATATAATATAATATAATATAATATAATATAATATAATATAATATAATATAATATAATATAATATAATATAATATAATATATGGGGGACATGTATTTTTACATGAGTTGAGATTTGTAAAGCATGTATATGTAGTCCATACATCTACACAATACTTTTATGTTACTTTAAAAACTATCACAAAGGGCTTTATGAGGTTTTTCCATGTCAATTTTTAAGCATCTGTATGATTAAAAAGTAAACAGAATCTTTCATGTAGGCAGTGCTCTGTGGCAGAACAATTCACACCCTAAGTTGTATGGAAAAATACTTGTTGGTCTGAGACAAACACCTGATAATGTAATTGCATTTCTCTGACTTTTATCAACTAGCTGGATATTTGTATATATTGAAGAAGAGTATGTACATTAGTATAAAAACTTTTAGAATCTGGAAACAAACATGCAAAGTAAAATTCTTGGTGCAATGAAATGAAATCCATATGCACACATGCAATACAAGCAGAAAGAATAATGGCAAGTAGACTTCATGTCTCTAAATCTCTTAAGCTTGGTATAATTTTCTGCTAAATAGTTGCTACTTATACAATTAAGACTGAAACTACATAAAAGATTTCTGACATTTTTTTATTTGTTTATAAAAATGGCAAATCACAGAAAGAGGTCGGTTGGATTAGGTTAATTTTGCAGATCATTAGCAGGAAGATTCGCATTCTCCTACAACCTGGACATCTGACAGTTGGGGAATTTCACAGAAATAAAGTATATATTGCTTTTGCAATAGTGTAAAATAGCTAGTTTTTAGATTTATGAACTCTAATATACCAAAATCCTCAGCTGACATGAAGTTGTATTGTTTTATGTGAGATGAAAAAGACAGTGTGTCTCAAAGGGTATTTGAATATAGCTTTTGGAATAATGTATATACTTTTATGAATAACATGGTTCAATAACATTAGTCAATATTTGGTAGCTGGGATATTTTGAGTGATGAGTATTTCATTCAATTTGGAAAATATTTCTATAACCATTATTAATATATGTACTTTGCTGGATTTACTTTTGTTTCTATTAAAAACTGTAAAGGCTATTCACTTATACTGTGAGTCTTTTCCACCGTGAACACATTGCAATCTCTCAGACACGCATTTGAGGTAGGAATAATATTTTTAATAAGTAAATTCATAAAACCACATAATGGAATTCTTATTACAGGCAAAAATTTGAGAAACAGTACATGGGCTATAAGCCAGGCCACTACTTGAATATTTTTTCTGCTAAGAAAGTTGGCTTTAGCATGTGTGATTTCCCAAGCCTCAGTGACAAAATGACAGACATTTGTATTTCTTAATTATTCATAAACCACTTTAATTATACTTAAAAAGTGCATTTATTAGAAAATAATTAAAGAATAACATTACTACAGTTTATGAACAAAGTGTTCAAATAAAAGGAGTTTTTGAGATTATATTTCAAATTGGATCACCACATATATTTATGTAATTGTGTATTACATTTTAAGGATTTTTTTAATGATTATTTTTTCAGTGTCGTGTAAGGGAAATTACAGTTCCCTTCAGTACATCATAATTAATCAGATCTAACATAATAAAATTTAAAAAGTGGTCAAAAAGAAGAAAAAGATGTGACGATTATATAAGGATGCACTAAACACTGATACAGATTGTTCATTATAGTCTCTTTATTATGGATGATTCATATACCTGCCTTCTAAAACAAGTTAGAAGAAAGAGAAGTAAAATCATTGCTACATATTGTGTCTATTGAAATAACATATGCTTGTTTCATATCAATGCACTTGCACTAGCTTAGTGGTAGAAGAAAATGTGCAAAGAGAAAATGTGCAAAGCTACTCCAAATGAAACTACATTGTTGCATACAGTTACAGTTTAAATACAATGATTACCCTGTTTGATATTAATATATTCCTTAAGATTTTCTTTGCTGATACAATGATTACCCTGTTTGATATTAATATATTCCTTAAGATTTTCTTTGCTGGTAAATATTTAATAATGCCAAGCTTCTTTGTAAACGTGAAGTTTGCAATGTAGATGACCACCAATAAAACTATCTATCTGTAAGGGTTCAAGGTGTGTTGATAAGATCATATTCAGATTGTCAACATAATCAAGATTGTGATATAGGAAAGGAATTCTTGCAGGATTAGGTAGCATTCAATAAGGCTGTAAGTGTGTTGCATACAGGGAGGGGGACAGAGGTGCTTCACTGCTCCTTCACAGAGGTCCTTTGGCTTCACTGGAGCTCAGATCAGAAATGGATGGGAAGTTGGAAAGGGCATTTTCAGATGCCACAGAGTAAGACTCACATTTTAGGACTAAATCTATCCAGGACTGATGACTGCTACAGGATGAGTACACTACCTCAACCACCCAGACTGAACTCTTAACAATGCAGTTGTGCTATGCTAACCTTTCATACAGGAGAAAATTTAATGATTTGAAATATAAAAAAGCATACCATAGCTCATCCACTTTCACAGAAGCAAGCAATCTCAGATGTTTCAAACTGCATCTCCTTAGAATGGACAGAAATCATTATTATTTTCACCATTCATTTTATGTTGACCATAAAGACTCAGATCTTGTGAGGGGCTGACTTACATTGTCATGCTCATTGTCATTGAGCAGCTGGCAAGGCTGCTGATTGTCTTGCATTAATCACTTTGACTTTTTTGAAGCAATAGACTGGAATTAAAAGTAACCATTACTGCAGAGTTAAGCATCATTCATTATTCTTCTACTTTTGCAATCGTTACCTAAAACATACTTCAGAGGGCAGTAGATAATATCCAAAGTTTTCATCCATAGGAATTTAAACAAAATTATCAATTCTCCCCACAAAGAAGAACAAGAGATAAATTTCTTAAAATTATTGCTATATTTAGCAGCTCATAACATCACCAACATGCACATTTCTGTGATTTAGATTTAATACAAATATTTCAAAATACAGATCTGAAAAATGCTCTCCATTTTTATTACAGGCCTATTCAATAAAATATATACCTTTGGTATAATATGTTCTGTTGTATATAGGAAACCATTTTCATTGTCATCAAAAATATATTTTAGCACTTGCGAATTACAGGGGACCTTAATTCCTCAGATAACCCACATATTGGATACAGTATCTTGAACCAGCTCATAAATATGTAGACATGGTACAGATGTACATTTTCTGTAGGAAATGGAAAGTGAAAGGTCTTTGAGAATTCTAAACTTAGTAATAATTAAACTACTTTAACTGTTTTTATGCTACTCTCATAGATATATAATAAGACATTATTTTCATTGAAAATATGCTTTAATAAGGCAATTTTTGTAAGAACTTAAATAGTATTTTTCTTGCATTAAAAACTCATTTACTTGTAAGGTGGTCATGCCTCCCTTGCTATTCTAAAATCACTACACGCAAAGCAATAAAATTACAGAGCTAAGCATCCTCCAAGGATGAAATCACAGTGAAGAAAGCTGTGATATACTTTATGCTGTAAATCATGTTGTATCATATCATATGATGATACCAGAATAGAAGAGAGCTGGTTATTTACACAGTGGTTCTGACTGGAAAATGTAAACAAAGATGAGTCAAGCACCTCAGCAATGCATTGACTTGCCAGTTCATATCCAAGGTTTTACAATGTTGTTTATTTAGTTCTGTTGATAACTTGACATGAGGCACCTGTTTTTAAGGTAAGAAACTGGTCAGATGATGAAGTGTCAGTGGGGCTTTCAAGCAAATATGAATTGATTCCCTTTAGTTCATTAGTAAACCAAGGGTATACTAATCTATGATCCAAGAAAGAGGAATGCTGTTAGGTTTAAATGCAGCTTAAGGAGCTCTATGACAGAATGACGGTTGTTTTCTGAACGAAAATCTCCAGTTAAGTAAATAATATTTTAAAATAGCAGTGTAAGTAAAATGTTAACATAGATTAACAAAAGTCTGATAGCTATTCAGAAGCTCTTTGTCCCACTGACATTGTTGGAATTGGCTTGGAAAAGCCCAAGTGTACTTGGACATCACTGTAGGTATAAACAGTTGAGCATTAAAAGGTATGACAGGTGGAGTTTCTTTCTGGAACTAAATGCTCTTTCTTTTTAAGGTCAATTTGAAGGTGAATCCTATTGTTGTGAATTACTTTTCTCTGCCAGAGGACTTCATTATAAAGAGAGATTCATTGTTGCAGGAGACAGCCTGTCTTGCTATTTTTCCTCACTTCACACTGTACTTCCCCTTACTGAAGAGGTCCCTGCTGTCTGTGGAAAGTCCTGAGAATCACATGTTCCTCTTTGTACCACTGTTATAAGTAGTATCTTCTCTTTTCTGTTATTTAAAGGTGTCTAATTTCTAGGCTATTACACTATGTTCATAACTGTGTAAACACCTAATTATTAATTTGAAAATTTTATCTGTGACAGATTAAAAAATAACTGCTAGCCTCAAGTTATTCTCAGGGGATCAGTTCAGAAAGATGTTAAATACTCATTCTGTATACATGTCTTATTTTCCAGTGTTTCATGGGTTTAAGATTCCACTAACCAGACAAAACTGTCATACTCAACTATCACTCCTATTAAACGCATTAATCTTTTTCTCACAGAGATTTAGAACTTCTGCCTTGTATACAAGTGAGATAAAACAGTTCTTCCTCACTTATGTTTCTAGAAGGTGTTTCCCCAGAAACTCCTCTGGGACTCTTCCTGATTTCATGAGTTACCGTCTCTTCAGAAATAATGGCAATTTAAATTTCTCCTCCCAATCCTCCTACACCTCTTTTTTATGCTGAAATGGCTTGCACTGATGAATCATGGCTCTTTTCCTTCCTTGCTGTTTATCCTCCTGCCCTTGGAGCTTTGAAGATAATCATTCAGGCTTGTTTCTCCTGCTAAAAGCTATTTTAAAATTGAAAAGTCAATTGAGAATGCCATCTCTAGGAAGGCTGGTGAGGTTTAATATCCAAAAAATTATATTCGTGTTAGTAGCAAAGAAATATAGATAGAGGTACTTTTTAAAAAGCCTAATGAATTTTCAGTTACCTTGATTTTTGACTTCACATCTTGTAATATATTTCATAAAGGTCTGATTTCTTTCTTTTTTTTAAGAAGTTTTCAGAGATTTTAGAATCAGGACTGTAACATGGATAGAAAGAGCATGTGGAAAGTGACAGGAATAGTTTTATGATTTGTTTTACTGAACCAGGCAATATGGATACTTCTGATTCAATCTCTTTCTAGGTGCTTATCTCCATCTAAGAAAAAAAAGTAGTCATTCATACCTTTTTATTCCTTCAAGGATATCACTATGTCATTATACAATGGATATACCATTGTATAATAGGATCTATATGTCAAGGCTCTGTAACAAGCTTCCAAACATCATGCGAGGGATTTGATCAAAGTGCTTTCTGTGTAGAAGGTATATTTCACTATGACATTTAACAGGAGGTCTAATAAAATGGACACTTTTTTTTTGGATGCTGTTGAGTGATAATAGTAAGATTCCCATTTTCAGACAGAGTCCACCTTCACTTGATTGTTGTTTGTAATCAGTGGAGAAGGTTTGCTTCTCATTCTGTCTCCAGCATCATTAGAACTATCCTGGAAAAAAACTTTTGCTGTACAAAAACTGACAATAATTCTCTTGTATTCTCTTCTGAAGTTCTGGTTCAGGAGTCCATATACTATAGCATTAAGGCAGCTGTTGAAATATGCCATGTAATAACTAGACACAAACAACCACTCTGGAATCCTAGGGATTACAGTTTTTGGGTTGACAGCCACTGCAATGCCTATAAAGTTCAAGGGAGCCCAGCAGACTGCAAACAGTACAAATACCACAAACATGGTTACAAAGTTTCTGAAGTCATGTGGTTTCAGCCTCGGGTTGTTATCCGGTTTAACCCTTCGCCTTACCTGGATAACGAGGATCCATATTCGCAAGTAACAGAAAGTAACCACGGCTATGGGGAGCAGGAAATGGAAAAACACAACTGCTATAGTATATGCTGGGCTCACAGACTGTGCAAATGTACAGGAGTAAATCCTGGGGTCGTACTGCAGTGATCCCACAAACAGATTGGGCACGATAGCGACAAATGTTAGGACCCAAATGAGGACAATATAGCACAGTGAATTCCTGTCGCTGTACAGCTTGTCATATTTGAGGCTGTGGCAGATATAGCAGTACCGATTGATAGCGATGCCTGTAATATTGAAGATTGATCCAATGACACTTAGGCCCATCAAGAAGCCACTAATCTGGCAGTGTAGGTATCCCAGTTTCCATCCGTTGTGAAACACAGATGTGAGGACCAGTGGATAAGGGTAGATAGCTACTATCAAGTCTGCAACTGCCAGGCTTACAACAAACACATTTCCTGTAAAATAAATATAAAAAGGCAAGTATTAGTTTTTCCTTTGCTCCCTTCTATCATTTCTGCTCTCGTTATATTAATGAGCAGCCTCAGTGGAACACTTTAAATGTAATTAAAATTGGCTCAAAATTCATTGTCATATATCAGAAATAAGAGACTCATTTTTAGTTTAAAAATGTAGCTTAACTTAAAGATGAACAATTTGAAAGTAAACTGCTTTAAGGTTATCTACCATGATCTATTATTTTTATCATGCCATTTGTTTGGATTCTTTCAATCACACAGACTTAGAATTCATATCAAATCAAAATATTCATAACTTTAAGGCTTGCTTTGGTTTTAAATAGTCTCTCTTGAAAAATCAGCAAAAATAATATTTCTAATAAATTTCCAAACTCAAATTTACCTTCTTTATTTAACTTCCTTTCATTACATTAACTAGCCCTTAGCTTGTCCAGTCTTGAAATTAAAATCTCTTTTCTCCCATTTATATTTCAAGCTCCCATGACTTTAGTATGACTTTTACATTATTCTCTTTGAATCTGCTGGCAAGTACTTAAATAACCCTAACTTCTAAGAGTCTTGTTGAACACCGACTCAGTTGTCTTTCCTAAAGACATGCTCTTCAGTAAAAAAGATGCTGTGCAGTGGCCTAGACAGTTCCCAGACAGTGCTGATGCCCCATTTTTCTCTACTTCCAAGCTGGAAAATTAAGAAATGGAACATTCTGCTGAATAACTTTTAAACAAAGGGAGATGATATTCTTCAAAGACAATAGAATCCATCAGATTTTGAATTCATGTTTTGAGAAGAGACTATATTTTTTTTTTTTTAGTTGCTTAAATGATAACCCATCTGAATACCTCCCAAACATTCTAATTGCTAAGAAGAGGCTCACAAGAAACACTGATGTCACTTTTATTCATTTCTTTAAAATAACTATTACATGTAAAGGCCTAGTTATTCATGTCCATAAGTACAGAAAGCTTTCAATTTTATCTTTACATGGGTGTTTGTAGGTAAATAAATACATATGTACGTAGACATTTGATATTCTACTTTGTAGTTCTGAGATTATTCATGGAAGAAATATGAAGCTTCTATTCCAACCTGTAATAAAATATATTATTAGTTTCAGATTATGTACAATTTCAGTGCTAATCCAAGATGAGCTTGGTGAACTGTTCTATGCATTTATTCTCAGCATATAAAATATAAACAGATAATAGCAGGTTAGTAGGAAAGGCAAAAGTTTCTATGGCCCAATAGGGTGTTTTAGCTGCTAAAATTCTCAAAACTACTTTTTAAATATATTATTTCAAATATCTTCAAATGCATAGTCTCTTACCAATCTCAGGCTTTAAATGTCCAGTTAGAAATGCTCAATCTGCAAATAATACTGCCAGAGAAAAACAGAAATTCTCTTTCTCTGGATGCTACCTATGCTGTTGTGTTTAAATTTTGACACACGCACAAAGTACCACATTTGATATTTATACTAATGGCACCTAGAACAAATGGCCTCCATTAAAAGACTGCTGCACTAGTTTTTCTTGATTTAGTATCTGGATTTATAAATAACTTTCTTGTGATGGTGTCTGTAGCTGTTTCGTCTTTGACTGGGAATTCACTGCCAGACTGAAATATGCTTATCCTGAAGCCTTTGGCAGAATTCCAGATCATTTCAGCACAAACATCAGAGCATCTTTAAGCAGAAGATGACACAGGGAAAAAAAGCACTGCTTTCAGAATTTATCTTTGACGTAGTGGCAACTGATACAAGAACAAGAGATTGTATGGAACTGAGAGCTCCTTGTTTATCTGATGAATCAAAAAGTGGAAAGTAAATGAAAAGCTGCTGCTGCCAGGTTTCTTTCCCCCCGTCCAGAATATTGCAGGATTGATGAAATGGTAACATATAAACCCTAGATACTTATTAAAATGTAATATTTGAAAGAATTCTATTTATATTTTCTTATTAATACCCTGCTTAGCTGGAGACTGCCCATCCTAAACTTTTTTCTCTGCCACCCACTAAAACTTCTGCTACTGCTCACCATTACTATTGCTAACATTGCCATTATTTACCCACTTTAGCCAAATGATAAGGACAAGTTTAAAGGGTTTTTTCTCCTTTAAAAAGTGCTGTATTGAAAGGTGACAGATGGTATACATTTCTCTGAATGGTTTTAGCTTTGGAAAAAACGAGTTTAGGAAGAGTAGGCAGTCTTTCTCTGAATCAGCCAAATTTCAGGCTTCCATAAACTCATGCACCATGGTTGTTCCAGGTTTTTTCAGCGGGCTGCTGTAGAATGACAAACTGAAAATCTTGGAAACACAAGCTGTTTCATGTGAAAATTGGAGGCCAGCATGAGGATAGGAGGATATGCTAGTAGTCTATCTTGAAGAAAAAAAAAAAGAAATCATGAGTTTGGAAATCAGGCCACAAGCTGCCAGCTCATGGTTAGCATGTCAGCTGAATGAGTAAAGTGTTGGGGGTGGAAACTGCTTGGAAACCAGGTACCTGTTTGCAGACAGGACTTTTAATTTGCCTTTCAGGAAGGGTTATTTTAAAGCTTGAGTTCAGATAAATTTTTGCTATGAGCATGGAAATTTTTTTGCTAAGACAGAGAATTTAAGTAAAAAAAAATTGGCATTAGTATGATTGTTGAATAATTTGGGGTTCATTGTTTCAGACTCTGAAGGTTGATCTGAAATGAATTTGAGCTTTCATATGTTATATAATAAACAATTTAAAAACATGATCCTAGCTTTAGGTACCACAATCACGGGAAAATGTTGCTAATTCATAAAATTCCCATATTATAATACCATATTGTGAAATTAAACTCTTATGTTTGTAGCACAATTGGTATTTTAGAGGTGAGCATCCTAAAAATGTATATAGGAAAGGGCTAATTTTTATCTTCAGAGTTAGGTTTGAATAGAATGCTACAAATGAAGCCTGAAGCTCTATAAATGAACCCTTCAAAAAGGTCACAAAATCAAAATCTTGAATAACTCTTCCTTGAAGAAAAAATATTCATTCTCTTTAGAGAGTAAGATCACGTAACTGTGAAAAAATGTGATTTGCGTACCTAAAGAATATATTATTATGCATTAACACCAGCAGGCTGAACTGAGAAGGCAGAGGTTGAATTTCTTGACTTTGACATAAGCCAAATAAGCTTTAATAAATTTAAGCAAATGTTGTGCAGTAGATGTATGTGGGAAGAAAGATAATCTACTGGCAACCAGCTTGAGCAGGTTATGTTTTTCGATGCTGTCTAAAGCAATGTTCCACTAAATATTTTCACCACTCTTACTGAAAAAGAAGCCTTTCTGCTCAGCAAACACATAGCAACATCAGATCTACCTGCTGAATATAAGGCTGCATTAATGCAACACAAAACAAACAAGTGTTTTCTTAAGAAATTTGACTTTTCCAAGAGCACAATACAACATTAACTTAGTGTAAAACTTGTGACCCTCACAGATTATAAGAAAAAATGCTTATGGGATTGCCAAGATACCAAAATGAATATAAGAGCCTCAATAAGAACTACATGATGTCATTGTATCAGTAGCAACTTGTATTTGCAGAACATATACAAATTACTCTGTGGGTTGTTAATCCCTAGATTTAGTGCTAAGTATGTCCTGAATGATAATTAGAAAGCTTCCAGAAATTTCTAGCAACTTAAACATGAACAGGATAATAATGGAAAAAAGATTAAAGTTACATAGATTGGGTAGTTCTGAATGCCTGCCCTAGAATTAGAATGGAGGGATGAACACTTTGCCAGCAGGTCAGAAATCACTTCTGGCAGTTTTAGGAGAACTGAGGGTGATGTGGTCTACAGAGCTCTTTCCTCAAGTGTTAGGGCTGTGAAGTACTCTTCTAAAATATTTAGTCTGGGGAAAATAACCTACTGTAAAAAAGGGAAATATCTTATGTATGGAAAAAACAACAATATTTTAAAGCATTAGGGGGATTCCAGCTAGAATATATGGTACTCAGAAAATCTGACTGAATTTTAGAAAAGATCTTATATTGCTGGCAACATCAGTATGGCAACATTTTCTTTTTTCACAAGTTATTTCTATACCTTTTAATACTGGTTGCCAAGTCACTATTCTATTCACCTTTTTCAAAGCTTTTCCTGGATAAATAATGCTTTGGCTTCTTACAAGAAATGCTTTCCACAAGACCTCATGTTTTCATCCTGTAGTTGCATTTTGAAACACATACCATCACATTTCCATTATTGCTTCAAGCTGGACCAATTTTAGGTGAGGGTTTTGTCTTTATGGCAACTGGAGTTGCTTTATCTTTTAGGTAAGACTAAACAGTACGTGCAGCAGTCATTGAAGTCACATGAAAGGATATTTTTTCAGTGGCCGTTGTCTCAGACCTCTGATGTTTACTTGCTAAACATATCTTTAAGGAAAGAAGATAGTGTAATTGGTTGAACACTGTTAAATTTAGAAGATAAAACTTAGTTTCTAATGACCAGATGATTGTCATTCTTATTTACTGTCTTTTCACCATTTGTAAGCTATTGCCAGTCATTTCCAATTGTTTCATAACTAGCTTTATTTAAATGGATGCTTTCCTATAAATTTGGATCATGTTTTGTAGGCATTAAATAGTATTTAAATATCATGAAAGTATCATATCATACAAATATCATACAAGTTTGTTACGTACATATTTTTTACACATCTAATGGCACAAAAAACTTATTTACATTTTTAAGCACTGGTTTCTGATAATTCTAATACTTCTACCAATTTTTCTCTAGGATAGCTTACAGACTTTTTGGCATTATGAAATTTTTCTGATTATTCTAGCCTTTGCTAAGGATGTTAATTTGAGAGCTTGTGCTTCTAGCTGAAAACAAGACTATGATAGATGCTCATCAGTGAATGCCTGCAGCATCAGAAACTTTAAATGTGATATCTCATAACTGAGTACAGCATCAGAGAGATGAACTTCTTCC